TATAATATATGTAATAGAAAACAATAACATATATCATGTAAATAGTAGTTATATCCTAATCAGAATACATCTACACGTGCCAGAATTATGAATTGTGCCTTATATCAGTTCATGTCCTGCTTGGAAAGCTACTCAGTTTGGTTTTTAATTGTTGTTGCAGTAGATTGAAGTTGCTTTAAATTTGTGGTATCTATTCTTTTTCTAGCCGAATAATAGAATTTATTACGAGATCCTGTTAGGAGTACATAAAAAACATTGACTGAAACTTGAGAAAAGATTTCCTTAAAAAATTTCTATCAAACACAGCTTATACTTAACCCTATTTTATAATTTATGGTATGAGCCTTTTTCAAGATTATTTTAAGACATTTATCAACACCACTGAATAATAGACAACAGGCAACTTGCATTTAATGTTAAGGAAAGTTGACAAAGCTTATTGGTTTTGTGACTAATAGTAAGCAGGTATTTTGCTTAGCTAAAACTTGAGGCATTTTATTCTAGGCCCCTTAGATCTCATGCACAAATAAATTAATAAGTCTTTCTTTCCATCTTTTCCACACGCAGGCAGAAGGAGAAGACAGCCTTAAAAAGATGCAGCTGATGGAGCTTGCAATTCTGAACGGCACCTACAGAGATGCCAACATCAAATCACGTAAGCATGTCATAAGCTCGAGGGTCAGTGCCGTAGTAATGTTTGCAAGTTTTGATTCCTGAAGCTACTTTTTGGCAAACGTGCAGTAGCAATTGTGTCAGAGAACGGAAGGCAGTAGAGACCCAACAAAACAGTATGTAGCTGTTGCAGAAGATCTCCTGGAGATAAGTTGTGTCTGCTTTGGGCTTTTTTTGTTTGGTTCGCCTCCTCATTTTTTTTTTGTTTTGTTCTGTTTAGCTTTTGCTTTTTGTTTTGAAAGTGTATCTGGGTTGAAATATTTACAAATAGATAAAGTACTCAACCCTTAAGCCAGATTTTCTGTTTTACAATCATTTTTTCCTTAATACGTTTAAAAGACAACAGATCCCTTTCCAATTTTATTTTTAGAGATTTAATTTGAAAATGTTGCAGATGTTCAGGATACTGTGAATGTATTTTTCTGTATTATATTCTTCCTTTCATCTTGCTTGCATGTGTCCCCGAATGTTATGTTTTTCCAACAAGTCATCAACTGATTTCACAGCTGAGTTCACAGGGATCAGTGATGTAATGAGCCATTTTTACAATTTCTTCCATTACATTTGTGTGAAAAAGCTTTTGCAAATGCATGTATGCACAGATTTACACTTGAAAATTAATTACATACACCTACTGATGAGAGCATATACCTGTTATGTGATACAAATTATTTTCTCTAGCTGAAAATCTAATTTCTTCTCCTGGAAATGTAGTTGCTGATACTGTTCCAAAGTAAATTTTTGCTGTAGCTGTGATACAGATGTCAAATGTAAGCACAGTTAAATCAGTCTTTTCACTAAGGGCCTACTGATATTTGCAAATTTGTTTCTCCACACGGTCACCATTTCAATGCTGAATATGTTTAAAGGTTGGAATGCAGTTAGGTCAATTTGAGAGTGCTTACACCAGTGTGATTATTCTGATTTGAAAAGAGACATAAGCAAGGGCTTTTACCAGTACAATGGTAGTGTTAAATCTTTTGGCCCTAATCAACACTGTAATATTTAAAGCTAGATCAGTTTTAAATTTATTTTAATCTCTACGTTATTGCAAATTTATGAGTAAAATAGCTTTCAGATTAGCTTAAATAGATGCAAACTGTTGCACAGAAAGCTTTACATTAATTTGAACAATTTTTTTGATCCATTCCCATTGGTCTATTGCATCAGTATAAATGGGAAGACAGATTTTTGGTTTTTTCCTACTTTTTGACTAGAGATTTCCACACTAATATTGACTATTTGATAAGAAAATTTCATTATTTGTGCTTTGACTTTACTGAAAACTTGAAGTTGTAGAATCTATATTAGTTTATTTCTGTTTAAGAAAGGAAATTCAAATGTTTGAGAGTTGGATTTTTTTAAAAAAATTATACATTCAGTCTAAGCACTTTTGTCTAAAAAATAAAAATAATTTTAAAACCACAGCAGTCTCAAATCTAAAAAACTACCACCACATTTCTATTTTCAGACGCTCTGTAAGTTAATTAAATCAATGTAAATCAACAGTAGTGCATAGAAATCTATACGTTATAACCTTTTAAGATTGACTGTTACCAGCTGATGTGTTAGTGTTTAAGAAGTTCATCTTGTGTGCCAACAGGCTTCAAATAACGTTTAGTGAAATGTGCTAGCACTGTTAAAAAACGCAAGCAAACAAAAACCAACTACCTATTTTCTTTAGAATAAGCAAGGCCATAATGAACTTCTAATACAAAGGAAGTATTTTATTTATGGGATTTTGATATGGAAATTACTTTTGAGTCTATTTCACTCATGATAGCATAGCAGAGGGGATACATTGTGTTTCTAGGTCATCTTTAACCTCACTGATCCTGGAAATTGTAATTGTGTATATATTTGAATACAATTGTAAGGCATATAAAAGCTCTAGACTCATCTGGCAGCTCTGCATAACTGAGTATCTGTGGACTCTGTAGTTGCACTAAATTTTGTACTCTGTATTTGATTATGACAGTATTTTCCTTGTATCTCCTGCATGCATCTCAGTTTCATGCAGTCTTGATAGCATAAATGAAGAAATGTGGTCTAAATGGAGCTTTTGTGCTGTGTAACCTGTTTGAGAATCTACCTCACTGTTTTACAATGGCTTTTTTTATTTTGCATGTTCATACTTAATCACACTGGAAAATGGAAAGCTGTTTGCATTTGAATGGTGTGCTTTGGCACTGTGTGATCAGCGCATGTACTAATGATTTCCTTTTATTTTTCTTCTTTCCTACTTTTCCCCTTTTTTCCCATTCTTTCCACGTTTTGTACTGCTATCTCCATACTTTCCTCTGAATTTCTTTGCTTACTGTAGCAGCCCTTGCCTTTTCTCTTGCAGCAACAGCCCAGGCTCCAAGGATTATTACTGGGCCTGCGCCTGTTCTCCCACCAGCTGCCCTGCGTACTCCTACGCCAGCTGGCCCTACCATAATGCCTTTGATCAGACAAATACAAACCGCTGTCATGCCAAACGGAACTCCTCATCCCACTGCTGCAATAGTTCCACCTGGACCCGAAGCTGGTTTAATTTACACACCATATGAATACCCCTACACGCTGGCACCAGCTACATCAATCCTTGAGTATCCTATTGAACCTAGTGGTGTATTAGGTAAGATCTTGGTACGCGGGTGACTGGAGAATATATCGCTTATGCTTTTGCGGTATTTGCAAGGTGTAGAGGTCACGGGGCACAAAGGAAAAAATTTGAAGCGAGAGCCTTATCTCGGGTATTATCAAAATTGCCTGGGAAAACTGCTCAGATGGTGTAACTTAAACTTTTCAACGCGTTTTGCATTATTAAAGATGTGTGCATCCTATATTAATAGGATCACTGAAAATAAAATCTTAATGTTTATATGACGCTAGATGGTGGATACATAGGCAAGAAAAGAAACCACCACAAGTTGACACCTATTTTACGTCCTTTGGGCTCTCGTAAATACCCAATTTGTGTGTGCTCTCTTCAACATAAATTCATGTCCAGTAATCTTTTTAAGAGAGAACTTTCTATTTTGCTATATGTTTTTACTAGCAAAACTGGAGAGAATTAAAAGGTCTTTTTTAGTTGGTTGGGGCTTTTGCTTCTTTATGTAGTACACAACTGATAAATCTCTCTTGAGTGTCAGAGCGATGTAAAGCGTATTGTAAGCAGAAAATAATTCCAGTGAACGAATAAAAAGCAGACTAAGTTCTGACCAAAGAATGATACAATTAGCAACTCTACTGATGGCTTCTTTTATATACATTGGGTGGAAATGTCCATTGTTCCTAATATTTCAGACCATTGAATTCCTATGTGAAGCGAGAGTGATAAAGCAGCCGTGACAATTCAGTTAACTGGTCAATATGGAACAAACAGTTCCAACAGCTTCTTCCTTCCCTACCCTCTACAGAATCTAAATAATCTTTTCAATTTGTTCTGAATTGCATATGACCTTGGTGCTGCATAGTGTTGATTTTTCAGGACTTTGATCTTAGCTTGTTCAGTGGCAGTTATTGATTTACACAAATTCTAAACATCTCTAATGAACACTGGACAATAAAGTTCAAAGTCAATATTTTGTTGAAAGTATTGCAAAGAATCGGCGTTTCATTTACGTGACAAATACTTGTTGGGTTATCTGTATGTGTACATGCTGTCACGTTACATTTTGTACAGTAAACAAGAAAATGTGTTTCAGACGTCTGCCTTTCAGGATTAGTGAATTGATAGTAAAAATTTTGGTAGGACAAAGTTATGCAGTAGGTCTGTCTTTGAGCAGCTTATGGTTGTTATCTATTACCACACAACCAAAATTCAGTGAGCATATGATAGTGTCGTCAATAATATGCTGCAAACACGTAAATATTCCCAGCAAGTTCTCCACCCCCAACCTGTGGGTCCACTTGCAGTACGTCCTGGGGTAAAGTCACAGTTACAGGCACTGCCACAGCAGCTGTCAGTTGCTGGTGATTGGCAAACCCCTCTCCTGAATTCAGTCAGCAGCAAGTAAAGAAATACATCATTCTATAGTTAAATGATTTTAACGATCATTTTAATGATCCATTTAATGCAATGCAGGGAACTTTGATTCCTTGCAGAGTTTTCTATAAAGAGAGAGGAGGGGAAAATGACTCCTAAAATGCCATCTGAAACCACTGCACACTTTTGGGCTTAGCTGTGAGAACACAGGTGTAGTGCCCAAAACAGATCTCTGCAAATAATCTTATTTAAAAAAGGAAAAGGGAGGGAAATGACCACACTCCAACTTTAGTGTACAATCAATAGCTCTTAATACATTTGCTCTGTTGTCTGAGCAATTGTATAGAGTTAATTGAATTAAATTAATTTTTCATTGAATTTTATTTCGTAGTACATTCCTTCTCAGTGATAGTATGCTATATTTTCATACAATCATAGAAGAATTTTGTCCATTTTTGTGGTGGACCGTTAAGATATCTTAAAACTATTAAAAAGGCAGAGAAATGCATCCCTGTTAGTATTTTTGGGAATATTGGTGTTGGGATCAAAGTAGTTGGTGACTAACTTTTAATTCCCTTCCTTTTATCTTCAGGTATGGCTTTCCCAACGAAAGGCTAAGAATTCAAGAACGGTCTTAACTGATCCTTCATCAGATCTGAATTTTAACAAATGCTTAGTTTCAGCAGCCTTGAAAAAAGCTTGGCCTAGCAGTCAGTGACTTACTTGCACTTTTTTGCACATAGATTTAAAATAAAATAGTGCTATTAATTTGGGTTAGCTCCTATTATTACAGAATAGCTGTAATTTATGAGTGTATAGTAGTATACTGACTGCTAAGTGTTCTAAATAGTGTTTGCTTTACTAATCACTTAATTCATTGCAGTTCATACTTATTGACTTAAAGTTTAAAATCACAATCTATAGGCTTGAAGAATTGCTTTAAAATTTTTTTTTGTGGTAGAACTGGAAGTGATCTTAAGGTTAGCAAATAATTGTCAGTATTAAAAGATGGCATTATTTAAAATAGTCCTGCTGCAAGAAAGGCACTTCAGTGAATATGTGACTAGTAAAGCTTAAATGTGCTTGGGTCTAATAGATTTCATGAAATACTGTAATTTTGGGATTGTAAATGAATGGATTACACAGGTTAAGGCCAGGATGTTTAAAATGAATGCAATATTAATCTGCACAGATAAACTACTTTTTAAGATTGAGATTTGAAACTACTGTGCCTTAACTTGTTGCTTTTCTTAAAATGAACTTTTGTAGTTAATGATCATTTAAATCCATTTTGATAAACCTGCTGTTAATGTTTTCTTTGAATGTTTTCTAACTTTGTCTTGGTAATTGCAATTTAACTAGGTGCGGTGGCTACTAAAGTTCGAAGGCACGATATGCGTGTCCATCCTTACCAAAGGATTGTGACCGCAGACCGAGGTTAGTTTAGTTCTGCAGTTCTTGTTTGTAAGAAGCGTTTTGAGTGTACATGAGATTTGCAACACCACAGCTGGTTAACCAAATGCCCTATTTTGACCCGTTCATTATTTTTCTCAAAAAATCTGAATAGTTAATATTTTAAAGCTTTGGGAATGCCTGTGGTTTTAAAAGCTTTCCCAGCTCAATTAAATATAGACACTTTCTGATGTATTTAATATAAATGCTGTAACCAATTTCCTTTTAAAAAGTATTTAAAGATACAGATGCATCGGGAAACACTACGAATTCAGTGCTGGAATAATTAATTTGGCCATGTTCCTCCCTTTCCTCCACAATTTGTTCTTTTAATTGGTGTGAAAATATCAGATTGGTGTTGCAAAATAAAATGAATGGATGGTTGCTTAATGAGAAAGAAGTAAAGGAATAAATGCCTCCTGTCTGTGTCTGGAGAAATCTGAAGATTTAGATTCCTTTTTTTCCAATAAACTTTTGAGCCACTGTACTGTATATTATGAGGAGGATGCATGTTCTCAGATACCTGACTGAATTCAGAAAGGTAAGGGCTGTGAAGATAATACTTCAAAAGTTGTTTGAGTTTGAATTACTAAGACTGGGGGAAGGAAGGGTGTTTTGGTTTTTCTGCCAAAATCTGTTTCTTGGTATTTGATTTTTTGCTGCTAAAATGTGTAACCTGAAGGAGAAGCAACTTTTGAAGTCCTGTTGGTGAGATGACATCCAATATTTGGGCATCTCTTTAACCCTTGAATGGAAAGTAAATCTTCATTTTTCTCCTGTTCCTCAAGCGTAATGCCTTTGGACCCCTGAATGAAGTATTTAAGCTTACTGAGAAAAGTGCTATTTTCGGTTTATTGACATTGGTTAGGAAGCAGAGTACGGGCTGAATTCTTATCCCATCCCTGCTGCTGACTCACTGTGGGTTTCGGCAAGTCATTTAATCTCTCTGCGTATGTTTCCCCATCTGTAAAACAAGGATAATAATACTTCCCTACCTCACAGGGATGTTGTGGGGGTTCTTGTTCTGTACAGGGCTTTGAGGATGCAAAGCGTTATGTGCCAAGTATTATTATTCTGCTCTCATCAAAATCAGTGTTGTGCAGGCTTCCTTGATATTGTAATATTCAAAAGCCAAATTCAGGTGACAGATCTGACATCTCTTAACATTGACTACACTTCACTTCTCACAACCCTTCAATAAATTAACTACAAGAAACAATACAGATTTCAGTCAATGCAGTAAAAAGGACCCTTCTGGATATTTGCTATGTTTATGTAACACTTTTATCTTTCATATGGACTGATGCTTTACAGAAAGTGTAAAGCTGATAGCAAGACACTACTTAAGTTTTCTGGAAGATTGCTTTTATATCACTGCACACTATTTTCAGCCCATTGGCTTGTTCTCCTTTCTCGACAAGTCTTCAGTGGGTGACAGAGTATAATGAGAATAATGCTGTAGTCCGTGTTTATCAAAAAAAAATTAAAAAGAAGAAAAAAGACAATAGAAGAAAGATTAAGACCTATCTCTGTCAAGAGTAATGGGTAGTAAGAATTTGGTTGTCTTTGAAAGTTTGACCTGATACTGCAAAACTCAGTTTTTGCTGATGGTCTTTGATGATCTGTAATGGCAGTTTCATAAGACAGGTGAGACTACCTTTTTTGTTCAATGAGATGTTTGCTATTTGCCCGAGACAACTAGGAAATACACTGACAAAGCATGGGGAGGGGAAATACTAATTTGTAGTTTAAGTTCAACACTGTAGTGTTTACTCAACACAGATCTTAAATATTTTGCGAAGGACCTGGGTGTTTCATCTGGGTCACTTATGAATAATTAAAATTATTTATTGTTATCATTTCACCTTCTTTTAAAATGTTCATCTCTACCAATATCAGAAGCCCACTTTCATATATAGATGAGTAAAATATACGTGGCTTATCTCCTGTGGAATAAGTCCTGGATACCTCTCTTTTAGCTTGAAAACCATGCTGATATTTCAGGAGAATGTTATTTTAAAGTCTTATCTAAATAATCCCAGTATGTACTAAAAAACTTACACAAAATTATTTTACAACTGTACTTCATTGTATTTTGTATTTGAAATCCTAGATTATCACTGCACAGATTTAGCAGTTTCACAATAGGTTTTGAAGAGCTTTGTTCAGTAATAAGACAGTTTCTTTTAGTGTGCCAGAATCAAAATACTAGCAGAATCAATAGTCACTTATTTGGTTGTTCTGTCACCAATATACTTCTATAGCTATAGCCATGAAAAACAATGTCAGCAAACCGAAATACTTTCCTTTTCAATGCAGAAACTTTTTTTTAATACATAGTTAAATGTCACTAAATCTATATTCACATTCATTGGGTCTAAAGTTTTTTTTTAAAAATTCTAAATGACTTTCATATGAGTTTGTAGTACTACTGCATTCACTTTTTAAGTAGGTTTTTATTCTTTGCATAGTTTGGGTTTTTTTTTTTAGAGATAAGCACTGCATTTAAAGCAAGAATCCCCAAATGTGTAAATGTTTTACTCTTACAACTAAGCATTTAGAATTGGTGAAGGGTTGGAAAATATAGCTCATTTTAACTCAGAATAAAACCCCAGTTTATGAGTAATACGAAATTGAATTTGATGCGTATAACAGAGAGACTGACTGATTTAATTATAATAAACTGTAAATGGTGTTGCACAGTTGACAAACCTGTGTGTACTGTAGAAGGCCAGAGACTTGGCAGAGGATGTATCACAGGTGTACTGGTATTTTTAAAAGGTAGCTTGCTTTGATTAGAAACTCCACAAGAAATATTAATGCTGAGAATTCTCTTGAATGTTTTATCCAAACCAACTGTCACATAATTTATATATAAATTTTAATACCATTTAATCAGAATTGTAATCAGTATCAAAATGCTTTAAGAGTCTGTTTCTAGTATACCTGTAAGGTGGTGAGGTTGTGCCACATAAAATATTTATTTTTTTGTTTGCTTATTTTTGAAACAGCCTTTTTAATTTAAACAAATCCCACTTAGCATGATTCTGAAAAAAATCAGGGAGTATGTGGTCTAATTTACGTTACAGTAGTGATTTTTCATAGTGTTATGAACTGTATCCTAAATGATAGGCCATTTTTATGATGTGAAAGTAAATCAGCCCATGAGAAAGATTACTAAATCGATGCTATCTGTGAATATTACACCTACTGGACTTCATTTTATGTAATGGCACAAATCTGACTTTGCACTGAATACCTTTCTCACTTTCATCTCCTCTGCCTTAGTCAAAATGGCAACAGTACAAAAACTTTCTCAACCTCAGAATTTATTAGCTATAATTAAGCTGTTGAATGAGTCTTAAAAAAATATATATAAAAAGAATCATACTACTGTTAAGTGGACCAAGTTGGTGAAGGAGAATGTGAGAGAATAATTAAAGAAGGAACAGGTCAAGAACATTGGGAATGATAACTTTCCACTTGAGAACTTTTTTATGTTTTACTGTAATTTGTTTGTGGTTTTGGGTTCTATTTTTGTTTTGTTTTGTTTTTGTTTTTTTATTTTGTTTTTTTTTTTGCAAAAGAAAATAGTATTTACAGGTGGCTTCTTTTAAAATATAAAAATATAAAGCAGGAATGTATATGAAATGTCAGATTTTATTGTATTTGCAGAGTATTAGCTTTGAAAATGAATAAAGAGAGCTGTTTGTAGTTTTAAAATGCCTTATTAGTATCAATTAGATATTTTTCTCTATTTTTTGATGTACTTAGAGCTTTTTAAGTATAGACTTTAAAATGGCAGGACTTTTACAGTGTTTACATGCAAGTGCATTTTATAAGTGTCCTATATGTGTAAAATAGTATTTTGAACGGGAAAATGCTGGCTAAAGTAGCAGGCTGAGCGTTTTCCTGGTTCCCACGATGATGCCTACGTTGCTAGACTACAGTTTAGTATTGCTTTGTATCATGAGGCCAAGAAATTCCATGTTGTTTGTAAATAGAATAAATGAAAGGCAATAAAAAATTTATTGAACAAAAACCCTTTGTTTGGCCCATAGTTTGTTGAACCAAATTGTTTCTCTAAGTCCAGAATTCCTTAGATGACTCCATTCTTTTAACAACCAGTTATTAATAATCACATCCATCATTAATAGTTGCTTTAATGCTTGCACCTGGGGAGGTACTAATGCTTAATAGCAGTCAGATACTGATGCTGTGCACTGACTGTTGTTCCAGAAATCTTCTACCCAGTTCCAAAACTGTTCATCGTTTTTTGTTTTCCAATTTCCTTCATCGACTGCTACTAACCATTAGTCGTTAGTTGTATTTTATCTCTATTTCTCCTGTTAACCGATTTTGTGGGAGCGGGCTTCTCCTTCACGTGTCCAAATCATGATGGAGGGCTGTCATGATTTTATTGCATTCTGTAGATGGTGTCGATCAGTATGTCAGAATTAAACATGCTTGTTTTTTTTATTAGTTGTGATTAGTTTTCATGTTGTCATTAAGCCGTCACTAGCTGGAACTAATCTCTTCTCTATCTTTTCTTTCTTTTTTTTGTTTTGTTTTTTTTTGTTTCTAACCACCCAGCCGCCACCGGCAACTAACCTATGACCTTCTGACCTCTGAACTCTTCACCCAATGATGACCTGACCATGCCTGCCTGCTGATCAGTTAACTGGTAAACGCCTTTGCTTGCCTGTCTTCAGTGCAGCGAGCTGGGGCACTTGTCCGTTCGTCTTACCATCTAACAAAACAGACAAAGAAATTGTCGTTCTCCAACTCCGCTTTTTGTTGTTCTCCTGTTTGGGTGAAAGTGGTTCTAGAACCTGCACTGAATAGTAGTAAAGCAATAAGGTCCAACTCATCCCTCCGCACTGATCATCCTCTAGTGTCCTGCCCCAAGCGAACGGTAAGGAGGCCTCGCACGAGATGGAGACAGATGTCCCTTAACTACCCGATGACAGAGGCAGTTACTGTGAGAGACTTCTAGGAATATTTTTCTTCTCAAAAAGTAATTAAAAAAAAATTTTAAAAATATTAAAAAAAAAGAATAAAGAAGTCAAAGCTCTCTCTGAATGTACTGTGTGATGATGCATCATGCATGAACCTTTGGTCAGGGATGTCATTGGGGAAGGGATTCCAAAAAGTATTCAAAATTTGATACGCTGTTTAATCACTACCAGTGCCCTCAAAGGGCAGACGTTGCAGCCTTTTTTCTCTTGCCTGCCAAATTGGACGTTTTAAAGGAAAGTGTGCCATGAAATGCAGATTACGATGACTTTCAGAACTACATTAATGCAGAGACAAAACAGCAACACTATTAAAGCAAAATCTGAGTTTAAATTATTTTAACCATATTTTAATCTCCTCGGAAGATTACATGAGAACAAGGTACATGCATTATGTGTCACATTACTGGGCAAACTGTTCAAATATTTTTTTTAAACCTCCCTGTATAGAAAAAAAATTCATTAAGG